GGCAACAAACACATAAATCAGAATGGGATGCCAAGGCACAAAAAACTCGATACTGACCGGATTATCTAAGCTAATCGGCTGGGTATATAACCGACAATTGGTACAACCAGTGACCACAAACAAGCCCACAACTTTGGCCAGCAAATGCAATTCGGTCTTTTCACTTTTACGCTCATTGCAGTTTCATGATTTGTAGTCGCACAACCACTAAAAATCCAAATATTTATTTTAGAATATCGAACTTAAGATTAGAAAGTCATTCTTGTTTTTTTTTTTTTGAATCACTTTTAGAAAGGTTGTGTTTTCTGTTTTACAGAAATGTATTTCTTAATTGTAATAAATGACGAGCATTTTTCTGAGTGCAGTTTTTAACACTTGTGAGCTGAGGAAGGCTTTGTTCATTAGTTGCCATTGCAGTGCCATGCAAATTATACGCAAGTTATTTGACGCTTAAATGAATAATTAAGAAGCGCAGTACATACTGAATGAGCCTCCCAGTCAGGCGGCATGCTACGAGAGTATGCCCCCCGGGGGCACCAGATGGGGCTGGAACACAATACTTGGCATTCCTCTCACGTTTGGGTGCGCCAAATAAATTTGAAATGTTTCATCAAACCAACAACAACAACATCAAAATAAGTCAACAGCAATTAAATCAACTTGCGTTCGCGTCTGCTTCTGAAGTTGGGTAATTAACACAAAGTCAGTCAAATTTTACACTGTCTAGCATATAAATTGTTGAATCTTGACGGCACACAATGCGGGGAACCGCACGAGGTCGGGGTAGGTGTTGTTGGAATACTACTATTATTATGACACTTGAGCACTTAATGCGCCAAGGATCAACTATAAATTGCTACACTCAGGAAAAAATCACACTGAATTTTACTTTCACGTTATTATTCAGAAACTATATTCATAAAACGGAACGTTGTCTCTTTCCAAAAACCAGGATCTTTCTTTTCGTAAATCCAGCATACATTTTTTGAACATGAAGTCAAATCGTGATTATTTATATGTATTTAATGGACATTAGTATTTTATTATTTCACATATGCAAGCAGTTTAGCTAATCTATAAAAACTTATAATTTAATTTAGAAAAAGTTATGATTCGAACTCGGTACTATTACTTATTATATTTTTCTAAATGTTATAAAAAAATAACGATTTGCTTTTCTACTTTTTAAAAATTCCCTTTCTAATGTTTAAAAATTGTTGTTCTTATAGTTATATTGTGGTTCCAAATACAACTCAGACTTTATTATTTTCAGAGCGATTTTAATTGTAGACCAATTATTTATACGTCAGTGCGATATTTCTGACTGCATTAAGAACTATGCTCGAAGAAGTACTAAGTCATATAAAAAAACTCTGGAATGTACTTATAAATATTTATTTAAGTCATCCACAATATTAAATGTCAAGCACGCCCAACAAAATGATTGCAGACGGTTCTTGTAACCAGTTTATGGTGTGCGTTTAATAGACATTTTTTTATATTATTACCGAGGGCAGCTCGCAATAAATCTGACTTTGGCCTGCTATACAACTTACCACTTTTTGATAGGCCCTCGAACGTTAAGATTACCTCCAGGCCTTATTAAATACCATCACGTTAAGTCCCTCATTATTTTTAAGCTGTCAAACAAATTGTGCCCAGCCAGAAGCCGAAATAATTATTGGTTGAAAAATGCCCTCTGTCTGTGTATGTGTTTAGGTATGTGTATTTCGGTATACATATATGTATTTTCAGGAGCCAGAGCAAACTTGAATATTTTCCGGCTGACGTGTGATCCATGAGAATTTTGATATGTGCACGAGCCCAAGTATTAGGAATCTACCCATGCATACATTTGGAGCCGCTCTTCTGAGTCGTTTCGCTTCAGCTTGACATCAACAACATCCATATCCCAAATAATTTGAGGCGACGCCGTTGACTCTGTCGTCAGTTTTTATTGCCGCGAATATTGTCGCTCATAACTTTTTAACGCGGACGTTTGCCCTTTACAAACAAGTGCAAAAAAAAAAAAAAAAAAACAAAAAAAAAAAAAAAAAAAACAAAAAAAAAAAACAACTTTTTCTCTTATTGCCAAAAAAGATCCCCACTCACACATAAATACGCACATACATATGTGAGTGAGTGTATGTGTGTGTGTGTGTATACACACACATAAGTAGCATGCGAAAGCGTATTTATTCACTGGATTCATGTTAAGTATTCACTTCGCCTCGCTTTCTGGCTCATTGTAATGTACGCACATCTTACACACACTTGCATGTATGTGTGTGTGTGTGTTTGAAGTGTTATTGTATATGTACCTGTGTGTATGTGTGTGTGTGTATGACTGTCTGCAAGTACTGCCGAGTCGATACTGCTGAGCTTATCTTTCGTAAGCGCCCCACAAGCAGCAATCAAAAACGCATTTTGGCTCCGCAAATTGCGAGTGTCACGTTCATTATTTTATATTAAATCACAACGTTTACTTAAGTACAAATACTTATATTCCTTATGTATGTGTGTGTATACATTTTTATAAGTATATACAATGCATTGGTGTGTGTGCATGTCAAATAAGACACATCGCTAATTTAAAACCCATTAATGTTTTGCACATCACCAATTATTTTCATTATTATGAGCATATTTGCATAAGGGAACTCAAACTGAAGTTTAAATTAAAAAACAAACCCTAAACAACTTGAAATTTCATTATTGTGTAAATATTTATTATGCCCTTGAATCCATAATAAATTTTGAAAGCCAGTAATATAAAGTAATTCAAAAGTATGTCGCAGAGAAAAGGAGGCCAGATATATACATATGTAAGTCTTTTTGTTCAGCACTTTAGCAATGGGCGTATGTATGAAAAACTTCAGAAAAAAAACTTCCAATAAAATGAACACTAGACAACTTTTCTACATTTCGGAATTAATAAATAATACATAAATTTAGAAAGCCTTTTTTAAATTTCTCAGAAATATATTTGTTAATAAAAGAAAATATTTCTAAAAAGTTGTAATGAAAACCTTTATTTTTGGAAACCTTCTAAATTGTAAATAAAAGGCTGCCGGGAACTACTTTCTGAATAATAATGTACGCTGTGCGGTGCTTTTAGTTGTGAGCCGAGTTCGTCACGAGCAATTATATTCACATATGAAAACAATTCAGCAGAAATTATTTGTATTTTGTGCACTTTTCAACCATCTATTTTTAAAAAGGTCTGTTTATAAATTAGCTTTGTGCCGGACTCTATTCTTATTAATGTGAAAAATGCAATACACTTCTATTATTGAATGAAAATATATCGGAAATTATGATCCCAATTTTTGTTAGCAAATTTAAAGAAGCTCTAAAAGTGAATTTTCATCACATATGTTTTTGCTTACGAAAACTCTCATGCTGCTTTAATATGCACCCGCATCACTCAAAATACGCCTTATATACATATTGGATTGTAGGGGTCCTCTTCTGCTCCACTCTAGCATTAGTCTGCCAATATACAGAGAGTTTTGTTTGGTGAATTGAGTAAGAAATCAAATTCCGCAAAACAAATTCACGGAATTATGAGCAGATGCCACGGCGTCGCTAACCACAAATAATTTCAGGATTTGCATATTGCGATTATCCGAAAGGAAGCTGCGCCTGTTGCTCAGTTTGTGCTTCTTTTCATGCTTGAAGAAGCCAAACAGACATTTTATTTCTTTTTTTTTACTTTCTTTCACGGCATTAACAGAAACAAAGGAACCAGCAGCACACGCGGCACGTAGTTCGTGTCAAAAACCGTTTTGGAAGCCATCAATCTCAAGGAAGAACAACGACAGATGACAATCAACGTGTAGCGAGGTAAAAAAAAAAAACAACAACAACACACACACTTGTACATCGAGGCAACGTCTCCAATTGATTATCGCATCAAATTGTTGGCATGTCAGCGAGGGAGCACCAAAGTTTCCCCTCGATGACATGTGATGCTAGACACACACATGTTAAGTCCCAACTTTGAGAAGCGTAATTCCCCAAGGACCACGTTTAATGCGTTCCACATAAAACTGGTCTGTTATACTAAAAACAGATGGAGCATAAAAACAGTAACATTGGCTTAGTCAGTGGGACTAGTCGGGAAGATCTTCTATAACGCTCGACAATTCCATAAAACATTTGTAGATGGCATTTAATTTGTAGCTGTAACTTTGTAATAAAACTGAAATATTGAGCACACATCTAAGACATATATATATGTATATATATATATATATATATATATATATATATATATATATATATATGTATATACTACGCTTAGCGACATTAGTTGTTTTACATCCAATCAGAGCCACTAAAATTACAATATATTGTACAAAATAGGGGGTTAACATTTTAGCTTCAATAAATTATCTCATACATCCCCTTTTTATATATATTCTGTGTACAGGGTATAGAGAACTTATTTTGAGAACAATGCTAATACTCTTAGCAGAATGATGCAATCGGATTCGTAAGCACCTTGACTTCAGAAGAAAAAAAGGAGAAGATGAATAAGGCAAGACGCAGCCCGCTTAAAAGCGTTCACTTGGAAGACAATTAAAAAATAAAATCCTGATACTGGCAGATTGTTCAGATGGGCGTAATATCTTTGTGGTAAGAAAAGAACGAATTCCCAGCGGGGCTTAGAAATAAATGCTGATGGGTATTTTTGAGTGTAAAGTTTTCGCATTTTTCATCGACTTAAGCGAGCGAATGTAAATAAGAATAGAAAGTCAGTGCCTTAATGAACTTGCGTGGCAGCTCTAAGCGAATCAACGGCACAGAAAAATGTCAAATAACAACTCAAATAAATAACAGATAAGAGACATGAGCGGCACTGAGAAACAAAGGACATTGTAGGAGGCTGCATTGTTGCCGTTGTTGTTGTTGCTGATTTTATTTTGCCATCCACGATTCAGGGAGGCAGTGATGTGAGCCGAGCTGTAAATAAGAAAAACGATAAAGCCACTTACCCAATTTCTCGCCGCACAGAACACAGTCAAAGGACTGCGTCAATATCAAGACCAGTAGTGCGAATCCTAGACTCTGGCATCTGGTCTGGGTCTGGGTCTCGGTCTGCGTCCGGGTTCGGGTTCGGGTTGTGTTCCGCCTCTTATTGGGACGTGGCTCCATCTCGAAACCTTTGCCGATGGGCGGAGCTTCGGCCAGTTAGGGAAACGAAGACAAAGTATTTCTCTATTAAGTTAGATGTTCTTTGACAGTCCTACGCACAATTCGTTTTTGGTTCTCGCAGCGGCAACCTTCATCTGCAATTAGAGTTGATTCGCGTCGTTCTGCGCTTTCTGCTTTTATACACTGCCCACACTTTAAATGGAATTCCTTCCGCTTCGATTGGCAATCTCAGCCAACAGCTGCATCAGGGCATATGGTAATAGTCACTATGGTTCGCCGCCTCCTCCTTTTGGCTGTTTGACTACAAATTGTTGAGGAAATATCACATTGATATAGGGAAGTTAATTCGAATGTTGCCTTCTTATCTGGCCCTAGTTTGTGTGTTGTCTTTTTCAACTCAATTTAGCAGCACATCAGAATCGGAGGAAAAATATGTAACCGACCCGATTTCTAAATTCTTTTCTTTTATATGTGGTTTGAGTGTCATTTTTATGCAGTTGAATTATATCTGCAAAAAAATAAGAATAAAATGCATAATCAAAATGCTGCTTATTAAAACTAAACGACATTTGGTCAATTACATTATTCTGCTTGATTATTTGATCATTTTATTTATGTAAATCCACCAAATGTGGCACAATTTAAAGTGTGGGATAAATCCACCAAATGTGGCACAATTTAAAGTGTGGGATGTACTGATCAAAATTGTTTTAAAATTCGCTTCCAAAGCTCAACACAATAAATTTATCGAAATTTCAAACGTATAAAAAAATTCGCAGTAATCAAAATTACAAATTGCTAATTATCGGGGTCCTAAAATATTTGTTGACAGTGCATCTTTTGGATTTTCTTTTGACGAACTTCATAAGCATAATAATCAATAAATATATTGATACCTTTGTAGCGGACATTAAATTTGTTCATGAAGGTCGTAAACTATTGAGGAAGGCATCTCCAACCCCATAAGTCATATTCATATATTTTTTATGAGCATAACTTGCCAAGCCAAATCCGTTTGACCGCCTGTCCGCCGATGTGTCGGACCTAATTTAGTATACCCATTTTTTCGAATTCCTGAATAAAATTTAAATCCAGTCTACAAGATAACTATTTTTTCGTATTCACAATTAGGCAAGCTACATGCTTAGAAGTCAACTTATTTTTTCATTTCGTTCAGTTTAAAAATCACCAAAATCCCAACATTAACACAAATATATTTTACAAAAAAATACTCACCATTCCTTTGTTTATTTGGTAATCCAATTGGAATTCAGCTTGTCTTGTCTATAAATGCAATCCGCCATTCAATCAAAGTCAAACTAAGCTCATGTTAGTTGCGCTTATTTGATGGCAATTTGGCTTATTATTTTGTTGCTTTCATGCGTTTATATCACTGTCACAATGTCGCCTTTAAAAGGATGATTTCAAAATAACACAAATCACTTCTTGTACAACTTTGTCAGGCAGGCAGCTTGGCCTTGTTGGAAATATTTCAAATCTTGCTTCTAAATATTCACAGATACTACCATTCAATGATTTATAGATACACATTTATTATTTGTTTATTATTATTTGTCAGTAACGTTGATTTTGCTTCTGTTTGTTTGGTTAAATCCAATTGTATTCCAAGCGAAAAGCCTTTGTTATGCTAGTTCCGTTAACAACATATTTCACTCTTGGGAGGATATTAATTTGCTGAGTCGGGAATTTGTAGCAATTCAAATTTGGCCCAACGCTGATTTGTCGTTGACCCCCTTCAATCGCAAAATTATGGCAAAACGATTTCCACAATTTTATCCACATATATATGTGTTATTCTCACAAAGGGAGACAAACAAGACCATTTCGTGCACAAGCTTCATTAAAAACAACTACAGAAGTTGAGTCACAATAACAACACTTTAGCTTTCCACAAAATTGTTACACTTATTCCCAGCATAACATATTTTGATTCTTTAAGTTTGAGATTTTATACGCACATTCACTTTTTATATTGTTACTTTAGTTTTTTCGAACGCTGATAATTTTCGTTTCCTTTTTTTCCTCCAATAACTTTACAGCTTCGAGTATTTGATTTAAATATTAAAAGAATTTTAAAAGTAAATCCGTATGCTAATTCAATTGAACTTAACGGGCACGGAATCGGCTAACTAGAATCAAGTTAAGCTCGGCGTCTTCGGATGCTGCGTAAAGTTCGCGGGAAATGTGAGAAATCGACAGACTCGGCGGGGACTTTGATGGCTTGCGTCCGATACTCTGAGATTTGCTCTGACTTTGGTGCGAAACGAGGCAGGACTGACTAGCAGCTCTTGGCATAGAAACGGGCCAAGTACTTGAGCGGAACACGAGCAAAGATAAGGATGCTTTCCGACTGCCTACGCAGAGATGCGAGATGCTGCTGCTCCCAATTTTAAGAGAACTGCAAACCATCCACGAAAGCTTTGAAATTTGCAGACTTTGACCTACAGTTGTACTGCTCGCACAGCATTCGTATGGCTTATTGTGTGTGCGAGTGGCTAAACTAGCTTCGTCCTGCGAGAGCACATCAGGCTACAAAAGCTTTCTGTGCTCCAGCTTGTGTCATAGTTTGACTTACGTTTAAGTATTGCCATACAGTCTGGAATAAACAATGAGGGAATGCCCACTGTTACCTTTGTGTAGGCAAAACAAACAAAATTTACCGAGATTTATATTATGAATTATATGACAGTCAACATACTGTTATATATGTAAGTAGCGCAATTCCCAATAGATCACAAATCTACTTAAAGATATATTAAATTGGGGCAATTGCATAGTTAATACATTCATAACTTCAATTTGCGCATAATAAATACGCATGCCGTAACTTTGAGAGACAATTAAAATTAAGAATGCGAGTCACAGTAATCCTATTAGCTGCCTTAACTATGTGATTAGGCACAGAATATATGTGGGAAAAGTTTTAAATGCTACAGCAACCACAACTCATAACACACCTAGTCCTTATGGGGGGAGGCCAAGGTCTAAAGCCAGGCAACGATATCATTATAATTCTGAGACGAGATGCTGATTGAGTCTTAAAGTGATTTAAGTCATTAGCCGTCTAAAGTTTTATTGGTCACGAGCGTACAGCCAGTGTAACTTTTGCGGGACAACTTTGGGTTTTACGTTTGCCTGAACCTTCTTTATCTAAACGTATCTATTTGCTTAATGCCCGTTTAACAGCATAAATGTCTTTGCCGATGCGTTGCTCGAGCTCGGTGTGGGTAAATCTCTAATAAGTTTAACTGCCCAGAAGTTTTCGGGAGCACACACTTGCGTCCCTATGCTCCTCTTAGATTTGTATTGAAGCCACAACGGTAATGTCTTTATGAGAGAATATCGTATTTCATGAAGATTTCTTGGGAGCACGCAACGTTTAGTAAGCACCAATGACCAAATTATATATCCTTGTTGTGGGGGGTCTCAATAGGCAGAGAGAAAGAGAGAGAGAGAGACAGAGAGTGACCACATTAAAACAGGTGTTTATTTGGCTATTAAATTTGGAAATTATATTCAATACACAAAAACAAACATTCATTGATTGAGCAACATGAAAGCAAATTTTGATTGTGGTTGCAAAATATTCAAAGCGAGTGAGAATTATGTATATATATTGAATTGATTCGAATTTTGCATATGATTAACAAGAATAAATAATAAAAATTTGAACAAGTGGTTCATACATTTTACAATATTCAGTTATCCGCGTATTGTGACCAATTCCAAAAATCAACAAAAAAAACAGCGTAGTTTTTGATTGCGAGCCTCTCCGTCGCTGGTTGCTTGCTGAGCGGCGTAATGAAATTCATGGTGCACTCCTGGGAGTAGTATTAAACTTTAAATTGTGGAGGTTCGCCATTGATGAAAGCTGAAGAAAACCTATTAAATAGTTTCTAAACAAAATACGCACAACCCAAGCCCCAAAAAGTTTCAGTTTCGTCGGAGGCATTGGACCTGCGTGTGTTGTCACCTAATATGGGACGAAGGAAACTTTGCGAAATTTTGTGATTGTTTCCCGTTAAATAAAATACCGTCGACGATATTTTGTGGCCGTTTCGCTTCTGGTTTACTCTATTAATCCCCAGTTGGCATTTAACCAAATGTTTGCGAATATTTATATTTATTTTTTTGTATACTTTCGCTTGTTTGCATTTAGTGTGATGCGCCCAATTTACAAAATTGAATTTTTAACTGCGGGAGGACTAGATATGGTAGGCTCTTGAAGTGAATGTCTGTCTGGGTTTACCCAACAACTTATTTTCTAAGGAACTCAATGTATTAAAGTCAAAACGAAACTCAACGTTTCTCGTACTTGGTAAATCTAAAGCCATTCTGCAAAACACAACAAATATGGGACCTTAATGGTGTAGCAAAGTTTTAAAGTCAATAGAAGCTCCTCTTAAACGAGCTAAATTTACTTTGGAGTTTAAAAACGTAATATGATTTTAATTTTCGTATTGTGTCAATATATTTGTAATTTACGTTTTCAGGTAAAATTCAATTTACTTTCACAGAAAATTGAAATCAAAGTCAACATTTAACCAAATTACGTCACTAAGCGTATCAAATGTAATCGAGTTGAAAATTATATTAGTTGACAGATTTTTACTAGAATTGACGATTGTTATTTGAAATGGGCACTCAAATGGTATTGATTGCAAATAATTGTGTGTTAATTTGTTTGTGTTTGCATCAGGGGATTTCAGGAGAATTTGTAGCAACACAATTGAAACAGCTGTTGAGCAGCACAGCCGGTGGTCGTTAACTTGTCAAGTTTTCGCTTGCTCATTGAAGAGTCATCATGCCAAAGGATCGGCAGCCTTGGTAATTCAATTTGCACGGCTTATAGGCATTTGGACAAACAATGCCGCCATATGTAGAGACTGATGGTGCTCCCCCGAATGCCAGCAATTGACAACAACATACCTACGCATTCTTATTCGCATTCGCATTCGTATTCGCATTCACTTTCGCATTCACATTCATTTTGTAAATGTAAATGAGTGTTCAATTGTCTCTGGCAATCATCAACAAGGGACGCAGGATAAGGACGGGCGCGATAACTACCGCTGCCACCGAGTAATTGTCAGTTTTATTTTGCTTTGTCATTTTAACGAAGTTCCAGCATCTTTAGGAGCCAAACGAGCGGAAACCCGATGTTGGGTGCCATAATTTCCCTTTGTGTACTTAAATTCAGGCAAATTAATAAAATAAATTGCGGGTAAGCACACATGCATAATATTTATTATATAAGCAGTGCTCTTTAAGTTCTTTTAGATAATGGAGATATTTGTACGCATATCCACAAATTTGTTATTCTACTTCCTTCATTTATATAAATTCGAGTCGAAAGAAATAGTGGCTCTATAAATTTAAAAAATTTGGCCATCAATATCCTTGTGTACGCTTTACAATAGCATAAAAAGGT